TCGCTGAAAACACTAGCACAAAAGCTGATCGAAAAGGACCCCAACAAGCTGGGCAGCTACACAACACCTTCGGGCATGGGTGGCATCAGCGGCAGTGGTGGTGCTGTTGTTGGCAGCGGCGCCTCGCTTGCCGATACAACGAATGCAAACACAAACCACAGCGCCATCGTTTCACAGGACAGCGCCTCAGAGGATGACTTCAGCGCCGCTACAATTGCGGCTGCCACAGCCATTGCCTCACTGGACAATGATAGCGCAGCAAGCACGCCGAAACGCGCCAACTCCACCTCCGAAGATGAGGCGATCGTGAGCGGGCTAAATAACAATCTGAAGCGGCGGTTACCAGGTAACTTTAGTAATGGCGAAGAAAGCGACAATCCTGCCGATGGCGCCGTCGGTATTGGTGGTGGCGGCAGTGAGAAGCGTACGCGCGTCTCTTCGCTATCCAGCATTGGAGCAGCCAGCGCCACAGCGGCTGTCGGCTCACCAACGTCCATTGCATCGTCAAATGCGTCTTCGAACAACTGACATTATGCATATGCGCCACCGTGCGGATGAATAAGGGATGCGCTGCCGCGGACGCAAACGCAGGCATCAGTCATATTGCCAACGTCGCTATCACCAACACAACCAATGCCGACGCAATGGGCGCAGTCTACTGCTTTGCGACACAACAACTTGAATGGGAACGGTGTCACTTGGTGTGGTGGAGGTGAAATTGGAAATGGATTAGGAGATGGACTGGCGCAGAAGCAAATTCACTTGCAATTGCAATATCAGCCACAGCAGCCGTTGGAAACACAATTTGTAAGGCCACAACTAATGCAGCGGAAATACTAACACGCGACTAGTGGAAGCGGAAGTGTAGTATGCAGAAAATTTATGTAAATTCTTAACTATCTACATACATATGTACGTATGATACATACTTATTTACATACGAGTATATAGTAATGATTTATAATGTTGAGTTTTGCCGAAAAAATTTAGCCGCAGTTATGCTCCTTACGAAGTCCTAGCAAAACAAAATCATTCTTGAAGAGATCCAACAGTCGGCGCATATCCTGCATAACATATCGTGTCTTTACAACAGTTAGATAACAGTTAAAACAAATTTTTATGAGAGCCATTTTTTCTAGTCAGCATGATTTTTGAAAACAATATTCGCACTCTACAAAATCAAATATATAAACAGTATTTGTTAGAAAATCCATATACAATATTTCGCTCAAAGAAAATTAAATACTTGCAAAAAAATATTTACCCTAAAAAAAATTCTACAATTGAGCACAACTGCGGCTGCATTTTGTTCAATGCAAATTATTTGATTGCGCATGCGCGTGGACTTACACCAATTCTCTACAAAGCCGGAGAGCTAAAAAAAAAATATATTTAAAGATAGTTAAATACAAGAAATTAACAAACAAAAAACTTAACTAGGGAATCCAACTATCAAAAGCTAATTTATATCCAGACAGACATATGGTATTTCAAAAAATCTAAACCTTTATAGTATATACACACACACCTACAAACCTACACACATATACAAGCACACTTTTTCCGCAAAGTAAAAGAATACATACATATACATACATACCTAGGCATAACCACCTTAATATACAAAATCTACTACATAACTACATCAAATTTTATGTAATTTCATATACAAAATATCACGGGATATATGTATTATCTAACTAAGAAAATAGTGAAGTCCCCGAAAGCCTCGATCTACATGCACGCATACATATACAATTTCTCTAGGCACTACATACATATGTATAACTTTATATGGATAATTATGTGTATACACAAATCATAACTGCATATTTGTAAATATGTATGTATGAATATTTTTAATAAATCTATTTAACTAGATATGTATGTGTGTATTGAAATTTAGGTACATATGTTTCGATTGTAAGAAACTTCTAATCAATATTTTGTGCTAACTTTCTAAATGTGTTAGTTGTTAGATGTAGTAATAAGTACTTATGTAAATTTGTATTTATTTTTTTAAGAAATAATTTTTAGAAAATCTTCCTACACTTATTTTTAACCGTATAACATATACATTTATGCTATGTACATACACAACCACACACACACATACATACATATGTACTCTCTAAGTGCTGTGAGTCTACGGGCTTAGCCTCTATAAAAAAAAAAAAACAAAAAGAAAGTTAAAATTTAGTTGAGAGGTTTATTATAAAAGCAGATAAATGAAGAGCAAGTAAGGTAAAAAGTTAATTAGAAATAAAAACGTCATAAATATGTGTACATAAACTTTTAAATACATACATATGTACAATGTACGCTATATAATTAAACAAAAAATATTGATAATTACTTAGCACTAATCGCTTATGCTATAAGCTGTGGCTCAGCGGCCACATCAAGTCAAAATATGCTATTCAATAAAAAATAACAATATGAAAAAATATTTAATGAAAAGAATTATTGTACGCAAGTGGTACGTGTAAGTGTGTAAAAACTGCTGCTGAAAACTTTTTATATATTAATTCTGTGTACGCAAAAGTTATACGCTTTGTTGCGTCTTTTAGTTGCTTTTGAGAGATTAGCCGCTGAATACTGAATTTTTCTAATGATGATCTTCAGTTTTTGTTTTTTTTTTCAAAGTGTGCCGATGCAATTGCGCATGTCCCAGTTTTCGCCCAGCGTTTGCTGAGCTGACGTGAGCTGTGGCGCTACCTGCCCAGTGTTATCCTTTTTCAACCGTATCCTTGCTCGATTACTTTAGTGACACTGATCGCTAATTGCCATGAAAATATGTAGATGTTTACCTGTCATATTGAAGTCACACTTTTGATAAGTATGTATACATACATATATCGCTCATTTCTTTCAATAATACCATAACTCGAGACAAACGGCTTTACAATTTTGAATTTACGTATACTCCCAAAGTAGAAATGAATACATATTTAGTTCTAGTGAGATACATACTGGTAATCGATAGAGCTATGAAATTTTTTGCACATCATAGAAGAAGAGGTAGCGGTAATTTCTGCATACTCGACTCAAAATTTATATTTTTGGATTATGGCACTATTGAAGTAAATGAGCGATATTTTTTCTCTATTTCTTTAATGGCAATCGCTGATGCCTGAAAAGCGCTACAGTAATACGCAAGCCGAAACTTTATGTTGACGGAAAGCCAGCATGGCGTTAAGCGCCAGAGTGGAAGTAGTAGTCCGCAATGCATCACTAATAGCAATGAAGGTTAGCCGGTTGTAAATATTGTAAAATTCTCTGGCGAGTTCCCGCAGTTGAGAGCTCCATAAAACATTACAGGCTTGGCTGTGGTTTAATATAGCCAAGAAATTACTTGGGTCATGACTAGTTTCCTATATAGGATCGGGCCCAAGTACTTGACCTTGTCGAAAAGCGGCAGGCAGGTAAACACACCCAAATCGAGGGATCTTATACATCCTAATGTACAAGACCAGTTCTGTGTTAATAGTGATGGAGAGACCCATTTTAGCTAAGATCATAAAGGGTGTCCAGGAATCTAAATTACTTTACTTTTTTTCTTTGTGCATGCTAGTGTCCATATCTTTGCATATTTAATGAAATAGTCAAAGGAAGAACTTTCTATAATAAGAAATTACAGTTCCGACAAAGATCAAAAAATCTCCGGTTCAGTGAAGTTCATCAGTGGTACCTACTTTCTTAAACAGGAATGTGACCTTAATAATAATAATAAGAGATAGTGTTTGGCCGAGCTTCTCCTCCGATTTGTGGCATGCGCCTTGATGTTGTCACACAAAGGGAAGGCCGACTCCGAACGGCGATTGTATTTTTATGAGAAGCTATTTTTCATGGCAGAAATACACTCGGAGGTTTGCCATTGCCTGCCGGAGGGGCGGCCGCTCTTAAGAAAAACCCTGTTTTCTAAATTTTTTGTGCGTTGTTGCTTTGACCAGGTCTTGAACTCAGGCCCTGTGGCGGCCTGGAAAGTGACCTTAATAGTCACTAGAGTTTTGAAAATTATTTAATATCAACAGCCATGGCTGTTTTCATTTTGAAATCACACAGTTCTTCCTAAAAAATATTACTTACCACACTGTATTCATGCTACTAAATTTTATTAGTTTTTAATATTAAGAAAAATTAAACAAAAAAAATATGTTAGTAGGGCTGATTTTAAAGTTTAAAAATGTTGAACATTTGTTTTTATTTATTTTTTTTTTTTTTGTTTTTTTAGTGTTTTTCCATATACAACGAGACTGCAAATGTAATAGCTATTACATGCATGCAAATGTAATTGAAGTACATAATTTTGTTGTGCTCGTATCAAACGTCGTTGAACGCGTTTAGGCTAAGAGTTCAAGTTTAAGTTTGCTCATATGTATATCCATAAAAAAAAATTTAGTAATGATGAATTAAAAAATTTAAGCTTTAATAATTATAGTTTAAGCCTTTTATCAATAGTGCAAAATTATAGTCTCTTTTTTATGCAATTTAAAACAAGAGTAACATTTTTTTTTTTTTAATAAATAGTAACAAACGCGCTATGCTTACAAATATAATAGTCGATTTGAGTTTAGTTAATCTGATTTTTGTACTAATAATGCAATTAGATTTTTTACGCTTCGCAAAGAAATTTAAATCAACATTTTACTTATAAGTGAATAGCAATAAGTTTTCGTGTACAAATCAAAACAAAATGCATGTATACAAATACATTTGTATATCAGTGCATAAAAACAAATATTTTAATTAAATTCTATTTTTGTGTGTCACAGCTGATTAAATTATATGTATGTAAATGTTAAGCAAATAATATTTTGTCTAATCAATTTTTACATCGGTGTGATTGTATGTAACATAATTTATATTTTTTAGCATTAAATGTGAATGCATAAGGGAAAATTCAAGTTGCAAGAATGTAATTGTAAATACAAAATATAATTATTATTCAAGTAAAATAGTTATGTATTTGTATGTATTAATGAACATATACGATTACTTATACCAATACATACATACATAAATATAAATATAAACATATAAACATATAAACCACATGACCGATGGAAGTGAATAAAAATGAAATCTGCAAAAATGTCGTAAATAATGATTTTCATTTATAAACTTTGTAGTTAAAAGAAATATTTCAATTACAAAAGGTAAAAAAGACTCGTGTTGAGGCTGTTTTTTGCCGGCTTTGGTTGGACCCGGCACCGTATGCGCTACTGCCTGGGTAACTGTGAGCTGTTTGTTATTGTTTTTTGGTGTCATTATTCCTTAGTGGAAGTTGGTTGGCTCACATTCTGGTTTGGAAGTACATATATTCCTGGAAAGTAATAAAAAAAAGTTAATGCGCAACTAAATTTTTTCGTAGAAAAAAAGTTGTTTTTTTTTTTTTGTAATATTTATATTTTTTAACGTTTTTTTTTTTTAATGTTTATCTTTCTCTAAATGTATGAATAACGTTATTTTCTATCTATATCTTAATTGGTATCCTTATTTTTAACTTTACTATTACTTTTTTATCATTATCTTTATTTTCATTTATATTTTTGCCTTTATCTTTCCTGTTTTTTGTCTGCCAATTTCCTTGTCTTATCTTTATCGTTATCTTTTTATCTCTATTTTTATCCTTTTATCTTTAACTCTACATACAGGTTTGTATATATTTGCCTTCATCTTTATCAATAACTCTTAACCTTAATCTTTATCTTTACCTCTACCTTTGTCTTTAGCTTAAACTTTGCTTTTATCGCAATCTTTATTTTTATCTTTATCTGCATTATCTTTTTCTCAATATTTATCCTTCTCTTTATCTGTATCACAACCTTTATTTTCGTTTTTATCTCTGCTTTTAGTCCTATAGTATTTATCTTTATCTATCTTTATTTTGGTCATAATCTTTATCTGTGTCTCTACCTCTAGAAGTGTATCTATCTTTATCTATTAAGTTATCTTCCACTCTTTCGAAATCAAAGATTATCCACTTCAAACAATGTATATCTTACCAACAAAAACGCGGCACCCAAAATAAGAGCCCGCTCCTTGGCCAACAGTTTGGCATCACTGAAATATATATTCGTGGTATACTGCGATTTATTGGCTACCCACTTATGATCAATAGACGCACGCAAGTCGCCGCCCGAGTGAATCTATTTATAAAGACATAAAAAAATCCATAAATTAAATAAAAACTCCCCAGGAAAATCCTTCCAGTCTCGGCCCACTTCTTACCCTAAAGAACGATTCCTTCGGCAAACAGAAGCAGCAAAAACCCGAGTTCTCTGGACCCTCTATGCAGAAAATCGGCTCACCGGTAACGCCATCTTGTATGTAGTAGACTGGCTTCAGAACTGTCGGGGAATGCACTATGCGTCCCAGTAGATTACCCGGTGGTATCCAGACTTCCAAATTCTTGGGATGACAGCATAATGAACCCAGCGCAAATTGTTTACGAAATAGCATGGCCTCCTGGTGCGTTTTATCCAGCAAATGCATTTGAAATGGCCGTGCAGCGCCCCAGAGTAAACGATTATTGGATGTTGAGCTCTCGGAGGCGGCATAAACTGCATCTCCCAAGGGTGAGCGTACCACATAGCGATTCTCAGAGGAGACAGAGGTCAAAGCTACGATAATAAGAAATACATATGTATGTAATTTCAATTAAAAATTTTTTAGCGTACAGTCAAGACTCGATGATGTGAACACTTGGTGCTTGTACTGGCACTTGTATAGGGTTAAAACTTGTTTGACCACTTTATAGAATCGTTGGAGTCCCTTTGTGCTCCATGTATTCGGGCTTAAAAGACTTACCCGCATTCAATTCAAATGTTTGCTCAATATGCAATGATGGTAACTCCGTTAGAAAATCATAACCGGTCATTGGTATGCTGAAACTACGCTGCGTGGAAATATTGGTACCCACTGTGGATACGGGTAGGGGTAATGGTATGCGTTCGGGAGCTGTAGGTATGAAACGTACGATAAGACTTTTAAAAGTTGATCGAAAAACAATTAATAAACTTACAGGTTGGCTGTGAGGTAATGCTGATAGGTCCATCATAAACTGGAAAAGCAGAACACGAGAAAGTTAGTGAGAACTACAAAATCGATCCAAATTTTGATACTGATGGAGGTACTGGAGAAGTAGTACGTGTGGAAACAGGTGTTTTGTATTTCTGCTACTAACGAAATTGTCCTTAAGGGAAAATAGTATCCACCTTCGATGAGCAACATTCATTAAATATGCGTCAAATAAGTCAGGATAATTTTCAACGCTTTCGCGAATTTTGGCAGGGCGATTGGCTGTACCTACACATCTGTCTTATAGACCTATGTACATGCCGAAAAATGGTAACCAATGTGTTGTTTTTTTATTGAAAGTAAACGGTTCTCTCCGAACTTTCGCGGAGCCAAACCCTCCTCTACAAAATCCTCGGCAATCCTTTACACCGCCTGGCCGAAAGAGGTCAAACTAACCCCAAAAAAATCGGAGTTACATTCGATGGTCTACATCTTTGCTCGCACCAGAGCACTGCCTACATGATGGGGCCAAAATGCTACCCGTCAAGGCCACATGTGCCACAAACGTGTGCATCCGGTGGGTGGGTGGATGACGTTAGTGTCCGGTATGCGGAGGCACCTGAGGACTCGCAAAACCTATATGTTAGTTGAGCTTGACGAAAACAACAATTAAGGGACAAGCCGATCAAATCGTCTCTTTTTCATATCAATTTTGAATATAACTGTTTAGACGAAACAATATGATTTTTTTCAGTCCCACGAATCCCGTGGATCCACGGTATTGATGACCTCGATTTCGCAAGCTTGCGGGTTCGGTAGACGTGTTCATGACGAAGCAGCAACCGATGCTCTACGCCCGCATATTGAGCAGAATCAGGAGATTATATTTGTCAGGACGGCCGAGTTGTAAGAATAGATAGTATACCTGGACTAAACATTAAATTGAGTTATTGTAAGCTAGACATAAGGTGATTTGTGTCTATACCATTAGTCACAGAGTTATGAGTCTATCCCTTATGGCATGAGCGCCCAGGATACCGTTTTATAAATAGTTAGCGGAATAAAGAGACATTCGATATTTGATAGCGTGAACGACGGACGTATTTTACTAACCACTTAGCCTTCTGAATATTTCACTAGATTTTCGAATTCAACGAGCATTTCTACATAGGAATTGGATAGGGCAATCCGGTAAAAAAAAAAACACACAAATTTGTGATCCAGTGTTATCAATGTCATTACCGGCCCCCAATATCGAGCAACCTTCGGCGTATCAGATCAGTGAAACTTTCTCAGAAGGCTATGAAAGCTTAGAGATGTAAAAGTTAAACAGTACTAGGGACAGGGGACCGTGCTTTGGGCCCCCAAACTTAATTCTCCTCGGCTTCGAATAAGGCAAATTCATATAAGGTGGCGTTGCTAGAACAACTGACTTGATTCGCCTGGGTAAACATACATATATATCGCACACAATCTTCAATAGTGACACAACTCAAAATTTTGCATTTTTGAAATTATGCACTAAAAATGCACACAGGGCTTTTATTTACGTTTCAACAAAAACTGTAGCAAATTTTTGTTATAATTTGTTGAAATCCCCTAAGGTAAAGTCTCCATTAGCCATATGATTAGTATGTGCTAAGAAATAGTTTTTCGCATTTTCTGACGGTGACGCGTAATTTTAAGTTGTGTCACCTTTGAATATCGTGTGCGATATGTCAAAGCAAAGAACGTAAATGTATACATTTACGTTCTTTGGTCAAAGTGAGTGAGCTGGTGAGTGAAAAAATTAGTTTTGGAATTTGGTTAGGATTTTCTTTCACTCTTCTGCCTTGAGCGAAGAATAGCTGAACCAAAAGCAAAAACAAAATACATGCAAGTTTTTGTTTATATAATATCGGTGCAACCAATGAGAATTTTATAATATTATTATTAATATTAAATTCGCCTTGGGTACAACCTTGGAAGTTTGATCTCGAAAAAATACAGCATACTTTCAAAAGCCTATATATTAACAAAATTTTAGCATTTATGCATCGCCGTTAAAATGATTGAATAAGCACCCTGTAAATTTTGCACCTGCATTGTCTTCATATTTATTGGATGCACTTCAATGCAGTAAATGATTTACAATACCGCCACTTTTTTCCTTTTCGATTTACTAAACTTATTGAAGCTTATTCGCAAGGCTTCTAAGATAACAGTTAAATAAAAACATAAAGCAGATAAGATAAGTCCAGGCGGACACAAAACAAAGGCACAAACTTTCCTAATTATTATTGGGTATTTAACTTACAATCATATTAAATTTGTTTTTCTTTTTTACGTTTTGTAATTTATGAAAACTCAGACTATTATTTATCCAATAAATGTATATACATATGTATGTATATGAAACCAAATTTCCTATATTTTTGTATATGCTGATTAATACACCATAAGGGATACGTGATAGTTTTTTCAATAGGTATGCGATTATTTTTTTCTGCTATTTTACAAAAAAATTGTCACCGTTATGAAATTCGTAAAACTCTTCTACCTCTAGGTTCCGCATTATTTTGTTGAGCGACACGAATTTCGCTATCGTATTGTAAATTTCGAACAGCATCGTTTTGCAACATTCTTGATTTTTACTGTCGTCTTATTCAGTTTTTTCTTAAAATTCACTTATTTTAAAAAATACACTTTTTCTGCAGGTTGGCTTTCCGAAAACCGAAGCACTTGTTCTTTTATAACGAACTAACCACAAACTGATTTTTAAACTGATGAATTTAATTGCTGTGCATACGAATTTCCATTGATTATCTACTACTGACCGAAACCCGATAGTATTGTATTTGCTTTTATCCTTATCAGTTCTTGGGGTATTTAGTTATCAATACTTACCTACCAATGACAGATAAGAAAATGGTATTCTCTGCCGCATATAGCACCTAATCCACTACAATAAAAATACGCACACATATACCTACAAGTATTCAGTTTAGTGAAAAACGATTTCTTAAAAATGTAGTGGGAAACCAATTAATGGACATTTCAAATTTTAAACTTAGCGTTAACATCTAAAAACCGTATTCAAGTAAGTAATAAGTAAACAGATTTGTAAGATGGTTTCTAAAACGTTTTTTTTTGTTTGCCGAATTCAATCGCTTAAAAAACTAAGAAAATTGGTTATTTTACAACCAAGTACATAATATCAAATATATTAATAGACAACAGCTCAATATTTGCCTTTATATTAAAATATTACTAATATTGCCGCCACGCAGTTTTCGTGCAAATGAAAATGCAGCTGTCAATCTACCAAATTGCCGGCAATAGATGGCAAGCTATAAGCTCTGATATGTATTGCTCTTGAAGAGAAAAGTCTTCATTGGATATTTGTATTCTAACACATGTATCAAGTTATAAACTTTATCCTTTGGAGACGGGCAGTTAGTTCTGTGCAATGACGCTATGAATTTTTTTACATAGTCTCTTTGTTAGACATAAATATATTACAGAAGACCGCTACCTTCATCTAAAGTGATAAATAAATAAATTGCTTAAATTTATCAGTTTATCCGCATTCTTCATTAACGCGCCTTGGTAAATAATTGCATAAAATTGTTTATTATTAAGCTTTGGTTAAATAGATTTCCATACAAAGCTTGACAGTTCATTTATCAAAATGATAAATTTTTCACTTTACCAAGGTTATCAAGAGTTTATCACTTTTGTTGAAGACCCCTGGTATGTTTACATAGTATCGATATTCATGCATTGCCGATAGTCAGCACCATTGATAATTGCGATAGTGATGCACCATCGCTGCTATCGATAGTTTGCCACCACTAGTAGGACGCATAGAAATAAACAAAATGCAGAATCGAAAATGGATAGTGGAAAAGTAAGGTAAAAATTCCAAATTTGTTAGATTTTAAATTAAATTAACTTCAAACTAAACTTTAGAGCCAACGAGAGAAAGAAAAGAGTGCAATGGACATCGGACGCTGTTAGGTTTCTTCTGCAAGTATGGAGGCAGAAGTTGTTGGAGTTGGAAAATACCAAGAGAACTGCTCCTATAATCGAAAAAATGTCGGAGCTAATGATTAATCGTGGATTTAATTTTAGTGCAGGAGAGGTGAAGGTTAAAATTCACAATTTGAAAAACAAATTTCATGAAGAACGAAGACAAATAGAATCTGGCATGGCTATGGAGGATGAGTGGCCCTTCTATAGAGCATTAGACTACTTGATGGGCAATCGCAGAGGTTACGAATGGAAAGACTTGATGATTGATTGTGCAGGTTTAGCCTTAAGTAAATGACGAATTGTTAATTTTCTAATATTCTTATCTGATTAGATCCACTTTATGATTACAACGAGGAATTGACTGCCAGCCGTATAGATGATATTTTTAAAGGTAAACATCGTTTTACGCTAATAATAGTGATCGGTATTGGTTGGCCAAGCAAATGCAATACCAAAAACTTGTTGTTCTAAATTTTAATTAAATTATTCTAACATTAACGCTTGTAGAAGACGGCGAATTAAGTGAATTTGAAGAAAATAATATACAAGGTGATCCTATAGTCATAGAAACGCATTTTCCATCTACGAGTATTTCCTCTTCGGAAGTAGAGGTTTATGACGAACAAAGTGAGAGTGAACCCTTACAAAATTTAAAAGCAAGCGAACATAAGCAAGATTATAGTAAGTAAATAACTTAAAGAAAATGTATTTAATACATTCATGCATATTCACCTACAGTTGAGACTAAACCGAAAATTATTGAAAGCGACGGTTTTAGAATAATAGCCGACAATATATTGCCCCGAAAGAAACCCAGTTCTAATGAAGGTAATATAAAAATATGATTCTGAAAAACAAACCTAATTAATATGCCAATTTCAGATATCTCCTCCCGGAATGGCATTTGGCCACAAAGGACTTCAAAAGCAAATTTGAAGATATCTGAGACTGACAAGCCCAATTTTCAATACTTAAATTTAGCCAAATTAGAGCTTATTAAATTACAGAAAGAGCAAGTTAAACAAGAAATGAATTATCGAAGTAAAGAATTCGAACAAAAAACGCGTGAACATAAACTACGACTGCGACACATGCAAGAAGAACATGAGTTGCGAATGAAGTCGCTTCGTAATGATTCGAAAATGAATTCGCAAGAAACTGATTAAAAAAAAAGCGGACGCATATTTAAAGTTCTGTTAAATTTTATAAGATTTTTCAATTTCACAAACATTCATTTTTTGAAAACGTGCATACATTTACGAATATATTTATTTTTCTTTTAAGAACAAACATGAATTAGATGCTAATTAATGATTTAATTACTTTTTCTTACTTAGAAAACATGTTTTCTCTATGTGTCGTAAGTTTCTCAAACTCACCGTAGAAGGCAATGAATAATTTTATCTTGTAGAAATATAAGTCCGTAGCTATCTATATTCAAAATAAAGTCTAAAGTTGAAAGCAGCTTTTTTGACATATCCCATTGAAAGTTATGTCAAAAAGCCTTTCACTTTAGAGTTGACTTAATTTTGACTATAACTACGGGCCATACAATTTAAGAAAAAAATAAATAGCATTTAAAATAATTTTTCAATGCGGCAACTAAATTTAACAGTCTTATTTTTATTGTTGGTGTTTTCGACATTAAATTTAACAGCTTTATGAGTACGGGTCTACAATTTGTGCCGTAATGTCCGCTTATTGGATCTGCAGCCTGGTGGACATGCTGATTTATCCAGTCTCGATTTTTCTCACTGGTACATTTCAGACACACGTCATTAAAAAAGAGCGTAGTTCAGCGTGGCAACTACATCGTTCACAAAATTTGACATTTCTTATGTCATACGTCATAACAAGAAAGCGACCAAAAGAAAATTTGAGTTTTTCATGAAAATTCGGATAAAAGAGGAGCAGGAAAAACAAACCATTTTCTGGCGCAGACTCGATGGAAAATCGTAAAATATAAACACGCTGCGAGAGAGATTTTGCGAAAAGTCTTGGCTGAATAGTAGCGCGAAAGTAAAAACGGATGGGAATGACCAGAGCAGCACGAAAATAAAGTTTCAAACAAATTTAAAGGTAACTAAACTAAACAAAATTTTATAAAAAAATGGAAAATCCATTTTATTTAGGCCTATAGCGCAGGTGAGCAAGCGTAATTCAAAGCAATTGGCTGCGACGTATTGCAGTGCACTGGCCAAGGGGTGAACATGACAAAGTACATACGTATGTACCTACATATGCATATGCATATAAAAAGTAGATGTGGTCTTGGTGGTTAACTGATTGACAAAAGCACGAACAAATATGTACACTCACACTGCCATGCGCACGCCAGCTCCAAGCAGTCGTATCAGCAGACTGTGAGTGGGGCCCATTGACTGCTGGTGGATGGTGCTAAACAGAAAATGCGTGAGAGCTTTAAGAATTTAGTTGGCGAAGAACATGGACGTTAGCAGAACGTACTGCAAAATTACGGTCTATTGCGAACAGTCTTTTATACTTAGAAGAGTTGTGAAAAAGTAAAAAAAAAAATCGCCTCATGTACCTTGGAAAAGTGCTTCAAACGCAAATTCTTTCATTTAATAGCTGCGCAAGTGGAAAATGTTGCGGAATTCCAAGAGTCAAATATTAAAGCGATTACGATTTTTTTTTTAAATATCAAACCCAAAAACGCTAATAAAACACGAAATACCTTGCAAACGGGTTTGAAGGAATGATATGTTCCAATGCAGTAAAGAACCGTGATACACATACATACATAAGTTTCCGTAAAATTGTTAAAAATCAATGTAAAATAAACTGAAAATTACGGTGTTATAAAATTTCCTTGCGATTCGGAATACGCCTTTATATCTGGCGATTGGCTTTATAAATATAGTTACTCTTATGTCTGAGAACGTCATCTGTGTGTCAGGAAAACTATAAAAGTTTTCATAAACCTGAAAAGGGAAAAGTAAAAAGATAAAGAATAAAATTAAAAACGACGCTTATAAATAAAATACAAAAAGGGAATCAGCGCAGCTACGGATAAGCGCAAGTCGAGCAGTGGGGCAGGAGTAAAGTAAAACTCAGTTAAAGAAGTGAAAATATCGTACATATAAGTTTATTGAAATAGTGGCAGCGGCTTACAGATTCAACAGCCAGGGGTCATGTCTCTTGAAGATCCATTCTTCGTTGTGAAGGAGTACGTAAACGATTTTGGTTTTTAAGGTTTTAGCATGTTTTTTGCTATGGTTTTGTCCTCCCGAAGGATACGCTGTTGTTTTGTTTCTAATTATTACGTATCTCTCTTTTTTTCTACAACAATTTCATTGCTTAACGCCGCTGGAAACCCGATACACTTTGGTGCCACTTACATATATTAAATGCGACTTTGACTGGTCGTTGTTTCGGCGTGCCGCATTAACCACGCTACCTACAATTGTGGTTACTCGGTCGATTGACTCTTGCAGCGAAGTATTTAAAGCATTAAATAAAACGCGCGGCCTATACCTGCGTTGGCGTGAATTGAGCGATAGCAGCGGCAGCGCAGAAGTTGAATGGACGACAACCGAGCTAAGAAACTCTTTGCGCAGCATTGAGTGGGATTTAGAAGATTTGGAGGACACAATTAATATCCTTTTTGAAAAAATGCATAATAGTTATTTATATACATAATTGTGTGCACAGTCACATAGGCATGCCAAAATGTTTGATAGTTTGTGTGGACGTATGAATGTAAACGTAGTCGTTGAAGAATGCAGATATTTGTATATCTGTTGTTTGTCTGCTGTGCTAAATAACCCGATCAGTTAATAGAATTATTATTGCTGCTTCGGCCTCCATAATGGCTGAACCCATAAACACTTATATTATTACAGAAAAGTTGCACACAAAGGTGTAATTCTGTCATTTTTTGTGAAAAATCAATTTGGCTTAGCTAAAATATTTTGTTTCATCGGATAGGGTTTCTTTGAACCATGTAAAATTGTTATCAGATTTATTGATAAAATATCGTTTACAGCTCCAGAGATAACGATAGCTCATGTTATGTGCCTGCTTGTTAAACGGTAATAAATGCCTATCTAATCATGTAACTAAGCCTTTAAAACCTCAAGTGCTGGTCTTCAGACTGGCATAAATTCACTCAAAGCGAAATGTTAAAAATAGTGAGATTTTTGGAAAAAAATGTTTCGTAATACTCTGTTAGCTCGAACCAAAATATGCATAGCTCCCAAGCAAAAATAGCCTGGGCATGAATTTTAAACGTTTTTACTTGTGTTGTAATATATCAAATTTGTTGTTTTTGCATTGATGCGGAAGATATATTTCTACATACATATGTTCATATAACAAAATTTTGAAAACAAGTAATTTTTTAAGCAAAAACCAAATTCGACTTATTCTTATATACAAATTTAAGAGTACCGTTAATTTCTTCATGCTCCAATGATCACAAATTATTATGGGACCAACAAGGATTATAAGAATCGGTAAACATGCACCAAAGTTATGCAGTAACATAAATAAAATTGATAACCTCCTCCTTTTTTTGAAGTCGCGTTAAAAGAGTTTAATCTGTTAAGAATTGACAGCTTCCTCCTTTTTTGAAGTCTCTTTTTAACCGATTAAATATTCTTAAAGTTGGAAATCTTTACATGACTCGCTCACTATATTTTTGTATTACGATTTTCTTCCGGCATAGTGTGTGGACACATAAATATGTAGATAAAGTGAAACAACCTACGTGTGCACATTAGGGTGACCCTTAAAATAACATTTAAATTTTGTATGAGGCACCCGTCTTGTTGGGGCCTCAACATATCTGCATTCCAAATAATTCTGAATATAGAGAAAACTATGGCTGAGTTTCCTTGTACATTTCACATTTCACAGCCAGAATAAACACAATGCGATTAAAATATACGTTAACATATCATCAGGAACGTTCTAAAGAATAAGTAAAAAAAAAATGTATTCCAAAAGTTCAGAATGAATAAAGAAATGCAGCCTATAGAAATTACATTTAACCAATTGATGGACGACAACGCTGATGGATGAACCGACCCGAACGGGGCTTAGTAGCCGCTACAACAACAACAACATTAAACCAATTATATTCAGCAATTTTTATTGAGCTTCAGGCCGTTTTTAATGAAAAACTTATTGTGGAAACGCAACAATAATTTGAAAAAAAAATATGGTAGAAGTGATAGCTATTTCGGAAATCACCACATTTCCTCATCAGACTTCTTTCAGTAGGATTCGAACCGACGCGTACGCACTGTGCTAAGTTTCGCCTTGTGAATTCTTGTTGATTTTTCCCACTATTTCATTTGTTAAACCAACTATAATCAAGCGGAGCTGTTCCAGTGCTATTAAAACTTGATCTTGTGGTTGTTGGTTTTTGTTAATATTTCTAGTATCAGAATGTTTAACTTTTAGGTGCGCTCGTCCTTAAGTTACTTGTTTTTGTCATTTTATGGCCTTATACCAATTATATTCAACAATTTTTATTGAGCTTGAGGCCGTTTTTAATGAAAAACTTAGTAAACCAATTTTAATTTTAATATCATTACAGTAGAAAAGTTCTACGGTGAAAAACCTTTTTTACGCATGGTGAGAAAATTTTACACTTCTGCTGTGCCAATTTGTAACTTTTTATATAAAAAATATATATTTTTATTGGATTTAATTCTTCTATGTAGAACTGAAAGCCATGCATTTATTACACGTCTTGGCAATAACATTAGGACCAAAAACAATTTAAATCCTTCAGGTAGGTGTGACTCTTGCTGCCAACTTTTTCACTAGCCCGGCCGGCTCGGAAATTTTCATTCACCTCATTGTCAAAAATTTATTGTCCGGAGTACTTTTCTATCAATTGGCACAGGCCCTCTGCATAAAGTAAGTAAAAAATAAAGCCATCCACAAAAATTTCAGCATTTTAAAATAATTTTACGAATCGTTACCAGGGTTTGAACAAAAATCTTTTTAATCACAAAAGTAAGACAGTATTTTGACTTAAGCCACCTTTAACTCAGCAAGCTCAGATCATATAAGTGCTATGTTGTTTAAGGCGTACTTGAATTGTCTTCCGAAGTACTTGTCAGTTTAGTCATGGAAGAAATCATACCCCGAAACAGAGAAAAAAAACCATTATCTAAAAAAATGTCCAAGGAAGGAAGGTAGACCAAACTAACTCTCCCCTATACATACTTGAGTTACTTGTTCTTTTTTAGGATAAGTTTTTATAAAAAATGCTATGGAACCAAGAAAAAATTTAAAAAATGCCGCACTTTAGAGCGTATGTCTTTATTTTTAAAAAAGGGTGCCCATAAAAAAATTTGGATGTTGATATTTTTAAGGACCACCCTAGTGTACATGTATCATTCTATTTGCTATATATGTTGCGCTGTCTCTCAGGGCCACTGTCTGAATGGGTGAGAGAATTACTGAATGCAGATCATATTTCAATTTAGGCGCACTTTCATACAATTTTATTTCCTACTTTATTATCTATTTAATACATATGCATACATTTAATCAATCGAAATTCAACACACATGCATGCATACATATAATTATGTAAACACTTTCGCCACAATTAAGTACTTTGATGTCTTCCTTAACCCATTCACTGCACGCATAGTTGAAAAGAATCCGAATAAATTTCGCATTGATAATCGTGAGCTATTGAGTCGGCGCCATTTCATCGACAACACGCGCGATGAAGTCAAGCAGATGAAAGAGAAGATGAGCCTGAATCGGAACAGGGACAGAGATATAACGGCACATCAACCACTACTCGATGAGCATAATCAGAACGAACTCAATCATCAAAACAATCAGAACGGCAACGGCAACAATTGCAACTACAACAACAACTATAATAACAGCCTAAACAACAGTAATCATCACAACAATCATATTCATCATCATCACGGTATCAACGATAAAACCTATCTGGTCGAGTGCCCGAACGGTGGCATAGGTGGCGGACTATTACAGCAAAATTCTTTGATAACCAGCGGCAGTGGTGTAGCTAATACAATTGCTGGCACAATGGCAGCAGCGGCACAACGTCACAGTGGTACAAAGTACTCCAAATTGGAGAATACGGTCGACAGTCCGGGTCATTATCCATCGCTGGATAGTCCGGGACATCGATTTGTGGGCGAAACTGTGTCGGTGCAGCAGCACATGATGCAGGGGCAGGACGAGCAGCTAGATATGATAAGTGATTCCATTGGAACGTTAAAGACTGTGTCACGTCAAATAGGCGTGGAATTGGATGAGCAGGCTGTGTAAGTGGTCAATATAAAGATTTGAGATGTATGTACATATGATATGAAAAAAATACATATATTCCTTCTAACTTCTCCGCAGCATGCTCGATGATTTTGGTAATGAATTTGATACAACGGAATCCAAATTGGATACAACCATGAAAAAAGTTGCCAAAGTATTGCACATTAATAATGGTAAGTGGGAGGTGTATTTTCGTTACACTTGCATACTATCTATTGTTTTCTCTCTTCTTTGGCAGATAAACGTCAATGGGCCGCTATATTCATTCTATCCGCGCTTTTGTTACTTGTGATAATTTTATTTATAGTTTTGTAAATATTGCGCTAAGTAAAAAATTTCTGCATCATTGTTGACATTTATTTGCTAATTATTTATATTTAAAATGAGTAATACCAAATTTGTATGTATAACTAAATAGCCTATTCAGAATTTGTATTTGTTTTATTTCATTTATTGCTAGCAAATTTTAAAAGCAAACAGTTACTACATATAATAAACGTCCAGTATAACTATTTTGTTTACATATGTAAGTAACAGAATTCTTAAATTCGCTATCGTTAAGGCGGCCTTGTCTAAATTCTTGGAAAGTTCGTTCCAAATTATTAGTCGGTAAGTTTGTCGTAGGTTGAAAATACAAAATTTCAATATGAAAAAGCGAGTCGTTTAAAAGAAACATCTAATTTCTCGATTTTCCAGCTAAACACCTTCTGGATTTCAAATCAGTAAATAGTATGTTCGGCAGTGTTTTACCGGCTCAAGGCTCGAAAACTGAACTACATATACAGGCTCCACACTTACATAGAAGCGGTTTCTAAAGTTACTCGGCGGTTATTTCTCTGCTATATGCAGTTGTATAGTAGAATGTTTGGCAAACAATTTATATAAGACGTCGTCGGAGCTATTCTGATTGCGAAAAGAAGACTAGTAGTTTTAATTATCGACGCCATTTTGGCAGGTAATTTTATATTTTGCACTACAAACAACAACAATTAATGATTTCAAACAGCTCGTGAGTGTGTACAAACTTACACTAACAATTCTGTAGTAATGTGCGCCTACAGATAGGCAACAATTCCTGAAAGGCACTTACTGAATTATCTGCTGAAGAGCTAACGATAGCGAATTTAAGAGTAGGTACTACATAAGAACCTCTGATCGTTTGGTTATTTAAGAATTTTTATTAATATACATAAGTATAGTTTACTATTTATTGTTAAAGTACATTTAACCGTTATTAACTGCTGCGAAAGGGCATTATTAATTAAAGTTTACCTAACCTCTTTCTCTTCAAGCCCAATTGTTTTAAATTTTCAAGTTTTCGTAACTATTACTTTTACATAATTTAATTTTTGGTTTAGCCAATTCAAGTTTACTACCATATTTAATACAAATAAATGTTTTTCTCACTTAGTTTTAAAACCTTTCTGCAATTCATATTCACATACATACAGTTACTTAAATAAAGTTGTATCAAGCGGCGTGCAAACAAATATACATACATATTTAAAAATTCATATAAATCGTTATTTTGTCTTCAAATTGTCATATACACAATACCGCACATATATGTAGCAAACAATGAACAACTGTACTACTACTAAAAACAAAAACAAGCAAACGAATTAATATAAAGAAATTCCAATTTTAAATTTAAAAGAAAATTTGTAAATCCAGTTAAAAACGCAAATGTATCATTTTAGTTGCAATTACTGCAATTCGAGTAAAATATTTATGTAAAAAGTATATAAATTGCGCATATATATACACATGTATATGCATTATATGGTATGTATTTATTTACGCAAAAGTTGTATGTAACTTTAAATTTCAGTCAAATACAAAGTAGTGAAAAATTAGAATCCATAAAACACTAAAAAGCTATAATCGAAATTTGAAATGTAATGAAATGTATCTACAAAGGAATTCAATTGCGAAAATATATACTATATATATATACAACCACTATATACAAAATGCAGCTATTTTTCTTTTACGTAAGCCAAATTTGGATTACGAATATTGAAAAAAAGGAAATTATTAGCAACCCAATAAACACTGGGCTGGGTTAACAATTCGAAAAGGATTAGAAAACAAATATTTATTCAAGTCTCACCTTCGATAATGAATGTGAACCTTCCTTATCCAATTTAGCCTCCCATCGGTATGAATTCGAAATCAAGACCACTGTCGAATGGAATTTTTAATGAGAGATAGTTATTGTCTTATATTGCCATTTTTGAAAAGTTTCCTGATTTACGGCGTTTTCGAACTGGCTGCCGAGATAGACAGATCTTCCAGTCAGGTGTCGATATACTCTGAACGTTGGAAAACTAAGGTTGGTTATGAGTTTGTTCTCAGTACGATATACATACTAGATATCGCAGGTCATTAATTTGGAATGTTCGCCACAATGTTTATTAGGAAGGAACATAAAAATTGATTTGAAGAAATATGGTAACGTTATAATTATCGATACGTTTTGCTAAGAATTGTCCATCTCTTAAATTTAAGTGAAGGGGCCAGTTTTTTTTTTAAGGATTGGAATGGTTATCCAACCTGGTTTTATACCTATCACTGAACTTTTTTATTTCATCTTTGACGGTGTATATTTTTGGATCTCTTTGAATAGTATGGTTTGACATATACCATATAGCATTTGTTATTGACCTTAAACTATGTTCACATATCAATATTATCTCAATCAAAGCTCGTTTTTTAATCACCCCGTTTACACAGGCAAATCTCAGATTATTAGCCGTCAAATTTGTTGTGCTTGTTATTCTCACATCTCAAGGAAAATTTATTTTTCCTTCTCTGTGCCACCGTGATCACGTTTTTCTGCTATAATAAGCAATATAAATATATTTTAACTTAACATTTTATTAAAAATACCTTTACAAACCTCTTTTACTTGCTAGCGTACATTTTTGTTTGCTTTTACATTTTGGCATTTCTCCTCTCTTTCGCAAAAACAATCGATAAAACTAGGATGGACACCGAAAAGTTATCGGTTAAATCTGAGATTATTTTATAATCACAGATTAACAAGCGACGAATTTTATATGGCTAATCTCTTGTTATAATTACAGATTAGGGTGTTAAGCTCGAAAATGAGGATAATCTACTTATATGTGAACCTAGTATTAGAGTTTTTGATTGAACCCGCTGTATTATTTCCTACGTTGAATATCATCATCGTCAGTAAAAGTGACAATACGGCCATCGTCAGCCATGTTACCGATGCGCTGATGATCGTCGACGATGACGATGTCGATATTCAGCATAGGGCCGAGTATTTCAATTGCTTGCCGTTCACCATATTTATATCGCATAAGTCCAAATGGGTTTTATAATGGTTTTATATATATACAAATAGTGGATTTGCTGTTTGCGCGGGGTGAAGTTAGCCAGCCAGAACTCCCAGCTGCAGACTTTTAAGACGAATTTATTAGTGCTTAAAATATACATTACACATAATAAAGCTTATTTCCACATTTGTAGAACATTTGATAAATAACCTTTGAAATTGATTTGAGAAGTAACCATGTTCTCAAGTGAAGATCAAATTCCCCCGTTTTATTGCGAAAGCTATAATTTTCAAATCGATATAGAATTATTTTCAAACGTTTGACATTTGATAAAGTGCCCTGATTTCAAACCATTCTCAAATGCATGTCAAACCTAATTGTTTGCTGGGTACATACACATCATTATATAAATAGGCAATCATGTTTCCTTTACACCCCTTTTACGGCTAAACTATACTTCTAAGGTATAAACAATTATATATCATTAGAAAGGTATTTTGATGCTGATGTGCAGGCAATTTTTCAAATTTCAAATTAGTTTAAAATAGAGCGAAAAAATCAATTCAAAAGTCACACCAATACCAATGCCATACATGTACATGGTTGGGGCGGAAATGCCTCCTAAATGTATGCTTTTATATTGATACTGAATTACAGAAACGTGCTAAGCAGCAGTTTAGGAATAAGATGTATGTATGTATGTATGTACATGAACAGATTAGACTCAAACGAGGAAGAAGGTATGGAGTTGAGTATGGAGAAGAAGAAAGGATAAAGCAAAGATTAACAGAAGTAAGAGAAACCGAAACATGAAGACAAAGAGAAAGGTAAATTTAAATTCTTCATAGTATACATATGTCATCGCAAAGATGTGGGTGAATATGTAGATGGAGAAAAGAATGAAGATAAAGATCTGGTTAAAAGTTAAGGAAATGATAAATATAAAAATTAAAAGATAAAGATATAGAAAATAATATATGTAGATAAAGGTAGAGACAAAGACAGAAAAAGAAAGAGATACAATTGAAGAATGACATGTTGTTATTTTATGTTATGTTATGTTGTGTTATGTTATGTTATGTTATGTTGTGTTATGTTATGTTATGTTGTGTTATGTAATGTTATGTAATGTTATGTTATGCTATGTTATGCTATCTTATGTTATGTTATGTTATGTCATGTTATGTCATGTTATGTTGTGTTATGTTATGTTATGTTGTGTTATGTTATGTTATGTTATGTTGTGTTATGTAATGTTATGTAATGTTATGTTATGCTATGTTATGTTATACCGTGCTAAGTCATATTATGTTATGTTATCTTATGTTATGTTATGTTGTGTTGTTTTGTGTTGAGTTGTGTTATGTGGTGTTGTTATGTTATTTTATGTTATATTCTGCTATGTTGTTCAACGCATTTCACCTCAATTCAGTTCAATTAACTCAACCCGGCTCAACTCAGCCCACCTCAGCTCCCCTTATTTTAAAAGGTTGAATTTCAACCGCTGGGCGAACACTAGTGTATATGAATGCACAATTGGGTGTGGAAAAAGTGAAGTCAGAATTTGTTTTATAGGACCCTAAAAACCTCAAAACTGCAATGGGGGACACAGAAAAATTACTAGTGTTGAAAAATGGTCTAATAAACAATTGGGATTTATTTTTGGAATTCTCCTGAAGAGAAAAAAAGATTTTTGAACGAAAAATATGTTGTTGCTTTCACATGCAAAATTCTTTTCTAGGCGACCGGAACTGCAACATAGCGAGCAGATAATTGGCGAATTGATGACGGCTGAAGTAGCCTCCGCTAGAGGGCTATTGATTTCCTTCCATTATGACCGGAAAGGGATAGTTATTACAGATAGCTATCGATTGCAAAACTTTTGTTTACAATTCCCCCCACCATACACTAGTTGATAACTTATTATCGATAGATGGCCGTGCATTTCTCGGTCCCCATAGACACCAATGCAAATCGAATGCATTTCGATGATTTCATACAAAACCCAAACAAAACTTGTGAAGAAATTTTTGCTGTGGAAATTTGTAATTGAAAATTATTTAACATGAAGCGCGTCAAGAACACCACCAGCAAAACTGCACAGAGCAAGAAAGCCAAAGCTATTTCTTCAAATGAAAGTGATGGCGGCAGTTTACCGCTTCCCGCAGTTAGTGAGGAGCGAGAGAAGGCAGCTCCGAGCACGCAGTACATCGATTCTTTGCAGCAGCGTCGTTTGGACACAGCAGACAGCACCTCTGAGTTTCAATTTAATAAAAAACGTGTGCGTGTGCTTAGTTCTGTAAAGGAGGTAAGTGAATCGCGGTCCGGTGGGGTACTGTATTGGATGTCACGCGATGCACGCGTTCAAGACAATTGGGCATTTTTATTCGCACAACGCTTAGCTTTAAAATTGAAATTACCGCTTCTGGTTGCCTATTGTCTCGTGCCGAAGTTTGTAAATGCTACACTACGCCATTATAAGTTCTTATTGGGCGGTTTGGAAGAAGTAGAGCTCGAATGTCGC